GACCCCGAACCGGGGAGCAAGGCAGGCCGACCCCGAGGGCGGCAGAACCGGGACAGCGGAGCGGGCCCAGCGGGACGGAGTGAGGCCGGCCGGACTGGACGCCCAAGGGCCGGGAAGGGCCGAGCTCGGGTGAAGGCGTTCCGAGCCCGACGGCCGGGATACTCAGGCGGAGCGCAGGGGGCCCCCGAGACTAAAGGACCGGAGGAGGGAGCTACCCTTCCCCAGTGGACTTTACAGGACTGAGACTGGGGAGGGCAAGAGGCGAGAGACGGGCTGGGGGAGCACATCTCGCCACACTGGTGGAGAATGTGGGCACCCCGGTAGGGGACCCCAAAAGAGACAGAGTGAGAGAGTGAAAAAAAAGAGGGAAACAAAGTAACACTACTGAAGAGCAACTGGTATTCCCACTTTTGGGTAAACTAAAAAGATTGTCAACAGCAGGATACTGGTCTAGCTGGACCTTTGGGCTTGACCCCAGTATGGCTGTTATAAGCAACAAATAACAGTAACGAGACTGAAAATATTAAAATCACTATCTTCAATGTGGTAGGACTGATACTTTGTCTAGTGTTCCCTTTAGTTTTTTCCATCCATGTGTAGAATAAATGGTATGTCCACTAAGGCACATGCAGCTATGAACCACCCCTAGAAACATGCTGCTAGCTGTAGCTGCTTTGCCAGTCAGCTGGGCAGTGCATGAATCTCTCCTGGAGAGCTGCCCAAGTGCTCAACTTACAGGGAACACTTGTTTTATCCATTTATTACCACAGTGAGGTCTTCCAGTCTTCCTTAACCTAGAATAAGGGTTTTTCAAGTGACTGCATAAGTGCATTCTGGGAAGTGTCAGTGTGCTCAGTGAGCCCTGTTGGGCAGCACAAGCTCCCTCTTCTACTGTATCCCAGCTAACAGCTCATCTGAAGAAGTGTTTTGCCTGCAAAAGAAAGATTCTAACCACACTACCCCTCTGAGACTTTAGGCACAAAAGGAGTAATTCCCAGCCTTCCCCAGTTCTTGCCCTAACTCCAATTAAAGGGAAATAGGAGGGCATCTCATGGAATGGCCATGTGCAACACATGCAGGATTTTAGTCTGTTCCTTGAGTGGCTGCACCTGTACATTCATTCTTGGTGACTCCCAAGTTTCAGCTGTTTCCCTCCCTTTTTTTCTTTTCCCTCCCCCTATTCACAATACCAGAGTGTGCCCTGCTCACTGGGTTTCAAGCTTGCTCCATCCCTATGCTAGTGTGTAATTCACATGTACTAGCTGCTTGAAGTCTTTTGTGGTAGCACTTGGAAAGGGCCAGATCTGGAATAGGGAGGCAAGGCTGAAATTCCTGCTCGTGCTCAGTCCACCATTGGAGCCGTCGCACTCTGACACAATGCTAAGTTCTATCAATAACTTCATTGAGATGTGCAACCACTATTTTAGTGGAATTCTGACTTTTCCTCCCTCGCCCATACTAAGGAAATACAAAGCTTCCAAAAAAGGTGCTGGTCAGGGAGAAATCACCTTAATCTGATGTGTGGAGTAGTGTACACCTGAAACCTAATCATGCTACCAAACTGGTGCCCAAGTCAGCACAGTTGGCTCCAGCTCTTCATATCCCTTCAGTGGGATCTCATGGGAATATGAGTAGAGTCATAGGGCCCTGCTCCATGGCAAT